TATAAATTTACAGGTGATCATGTATTGTGTTATATTATATTTCTGGAAAATTTAAGGGGTAGTTATATAATAATTTTAGATGATCTCAGGCAGTTGGATACTTATGACCGCTACTGTATATGATGTAGGAAAGGAAATAAAAGCAGTCTAAGCATGTTTTTAGATAATACAATATTTTTATGCTACTTTCACATATTATGCTCTTGGTGGAAAAATTATGTAAGTATAGTGCAACCACTAATTTATAAAAAGAAATTATTTGAAAAGATCTATGGCAGTTGATGAAAATAGAAGAATGAAATAACTTTGAAGCACAAAAATAAGTTATTAAATCAATTGATAAATAGAGGAAGATGGATATTGAAATGATATAAACTTTTGCTGATTATTTTGAGTGATAGTGAAAACTGAAGTATAAAATGTAGATGGTATATGCAAGAGGTATGGCTAGGAATATGAAAGATACAAATAATCTAATTAAATCATTCTATAATAAGTTAAAATATATGTATATGAGAGGTATTCAATGTGTCGACTTGATGGTGAGATATATATTCTTACAGAAATCGTTCTCTGAGATATAAATTTTTTGGTATTTTTAAGCAAATTAAAAATTAGCCGACTGAGTCCACAGTAACAAAAGAAGTATTTTAGAGAAATTGCAAGAAAAAAATATATTAATTGAAATTATATTTATAAAATTTAACTAGACATTTAGATTATATAGTCTATGACAAATTGAATATTCTATTTGAAAAAAGATTCTACTGATAATAATAATAATAGTCTAGATATTGCTTTATATACTTATACTTGTTATGATTTTAAAATATGACAATTATCATACAAGTATATATTCGCAGTGTTAGATTAGTGTATTTGTGATAATAATAAGGAAAATCAAGAAAATGAGCATATGGAGTCTATTATTTCTCTAAATCAAGCTACTTTTTAAATCAGAAAAATGTTGAGATGAATAATAAAGATGCTGAAATTTTAAAATTGCAAGAAGAACTTATTATCATTATATTAGAATAAAAGAACAAAAGAAGGCAAGATATTTAAAACCTTAGAGAAGTTCTCATGCAAGCTGCTTATACAAAAAAAGCAAGAATTACGAGATTTGAGAGTATACCATAAGTTAATAGTTATAATAAGTTGAAAGATTCTCAAATAGCATCAAATGTAAAATTCAAACAACAAAATAATTTTTAATTTTTTTTATGTATAATTTTAATTTTGCTTGTACAAAATAACTAGTAAAGAAACAGTTAGCATTAATTATGACATATATTCTAATAAATGATATTACTTTCACTTAAGTGTAAAATTTTTTTAAATTTTTCAGGAATATTTATTTACTATATAAATCATAACGTTTAACTTAATTTTTATCCATTTTTATCAATAATTAAAAATTACCACATGTTATGAAGGGACAGTAAATTTGATGTGAAAATTTTACTGAGTGAGTTTATTAATATGTAATGTGATATAATATATTTTGACCAATCAGAAATCAGAATTTTGTTAACTAATCAGAAACTGGAGATAAAATTAGTATACCCTACAAAATGTGATATAATTCTAAGTATAATAATATTATATGATATTTTCACTATAATTGAAGAGTTATTTATCATAGATAAATATATATTAGTTTAAAAGATTCTATATTTTAACTATCAGATTCATTATGTCATATGATAAAATTATATAAAATATTAAATGATACAAATAAAAATAAGCCTTATTTATTTTTTTTATACTGATGGAGGGTCTGATCATTGAGTCACTTATGTTTATGTTCAATTAGTATTAATAGCATTATTTTTAAAATTAGATTTAGATTTATTAATTGCTGTTAGAATTCCGCTAGACTATTCTTGAAATAATCCAGTAGAATGTATAATGTTAATATTAAATTTTGGTATGCAAAGTATTAATAGTAAAATGAGTGTTGATTTAAAAAATCTAATGAAAAAATGCAATTCTATAGAAGAAATTCATTTACATTCAAATAATAAGCCACAATTGAAAAATGAATTAATAGATAGTTTATAAGTATCAATTAACTTGATGGAAGGTATTTTTGAGCGATTATTATTAAAAGATCAATTATTTTTAACCTATAAATTTGTAACAAAAAAAGAGATTAAACATTTATGAGAATCTTTATTAGAAATTGAAGATTCATTAGATATAGACAATAGAATAAAGAAAGATATTAAGGATAAAGTAAGTATATTTTATTTAATATTTATTTTTTTATCTAAAATAATTATTAAATTATAATTAATTTATATTATGACCATTGCTGCAAGTCATGACATTATTTTTTTCAAATAAAAAAATGTAAAGTAATGGATTATAATATTTGTAAGTCAATAAGAAGTGATGAACTTGATTTTTTCCAAGTTCATTCTTTACCTGATTTATTTTTAATAGTTAATAAACTAATTACAAATAATTTTTGAATGTGCATGGTAAAATTACAATAGAGCAACATAAACTATCTTTAATAAATCAACAATAAAAAAAAGAGCTCATATAGGATTTGGTCCTATTGCTCAATTTGTAAGAAATGTTAGTACAGTAATTAAATGTTGTGAATGCAACAAATGGCATGTATTATATAGCAAAAGTAAGTTATCTTCCTTGAGTTATCCATTTTGAAAAGGTCTCTGGATACTATTTAATATATATATGAGGATTCTTTTGAAGCTTTAGCAAATTTAAGAAAAGAAATAGAAAATGTAAAGCAAAATATTAATGATAAGAATAGTGAACATGAAGATGTAGGAGAAATTTTTAACAAAGTAAATGTTGATGATGGGTTGTTATGTAGTAATCCAACAGAAGTTTCTTATTATTCAAGTGGTTTATTTGAAGAAATTTGTTTTCAGTGTAGAAAAGTACCGGAAGATGAATGTAATGAATCTGATAGAGTTAAGGTAAATGAAGGACATTACTATTATTGTAATGAGTGTTATATGACAGTTTCAGACAAAAAAAATGTGCTAAGAATATCAAGTTTCAAATAAAAAAAATCACGAAAATAGTATGTTACATTTTTTTATAATAAAGTATATGCTATTACGATTTTTCATATATAAAGTCACGTGATAAAAATTTTACTATAAAAAAAAATCGAGTTTTTGTAAAAATTAAGGCGGTCGGGTCACGAGAATCTAAAAAAATTTTTTGCTCGGCCTTATATAATAAGACTCAATTTTATAAATTTATCTTTGAATAATTTTAAGATATTTATTTTTTGAAATATTTTTTTTTTTTTTTGCTGTTTAAAGAAGAATACAGATTAAATTTAGAATGCTATCTCTTAAATAGTAGTTAAAATTTATGCTTTAATTTTTATTATTTAAATAATATAAATATTTATCATAAATATAATTTATTTTATACTTTCTTATATATAATTAGATATCATATGAATTTGGTTCGGTGGACTTGAAAGGTAGATTTTCGTTTCTTATTGTTTTGTTTTTTTTTTCTCATATTGATTCTATATGTATTTGGTTCTACAACTCTCAACATTAATGCTTAAAGTCCAGATTTTAACTTAATTATAGAAACATATAACTTCAGCATTTAAATTTGCTGGAAAATTTTCAGAAATCGTGCCGATCTTTATTAAAATTGGGGCTCTATTTAAGCAGTCAGTGCAGTTGCATTTTTTAAAAGCATGTAAATTTAATATTTTTTACAATTTAGACTGAGCGTACGATTTTCGTATAAATCCTATTTATATACTTTACAGAAACTTGGTGCAGTAACTGCAAAGTGACTATATAGTAAATATATAGTTACTACTTACTTAGTAGTTAGTAGCTTAATCGCAGCCTAATAGATACACTATGCAGCTACTGCATATTAAGGAAACAAAGTTTCTGTAAAGTATATAAGAAAACTTATGATGTGTATTTTAATCTCTTTTTCAACTTTAATTATTCCTAAAACTTAGGTTTAGAATGTAGATTTTGACTAGAAAAAACATATAGCTTTTGAAATTTTGTCAGGAATTTTGCTAACATTATTTTTTTTTAACTTTGTACTTTAATTTTAATTGTTAAAATTTCTAAATTCACAAGTATTACAACAATTCATATCTAATTTTTTATTGTAAAACAAATTTAACCTTAAATTTAAATTAACAAGAAAATTAAAAAGAATCAATTAAAAGTTTCCTTGTGGGTTGCTTAAAACTGCACTGTCCAGAGATTTTTTTTACAAAACTGCGCGTATAATTTTTTTGTATATAGATATGAATTAACGAAGTCTTGATTGTTCTACTCACGTGAAATAAATCTTATTATCTAAAATCATAAAAAAAATAAAAAAATGATCTACGGCACCGAAAAAAACGGAAAGGTTAACAAAGGCGAGCTTTGACTGTTTATGGAGATTTTTAAATAATTTTTTTTAAGAAAATCATATTTGAAAATTGACGTCGTCGTCACATCTACTTTATGAAGTAATGATGCATAATTTTTTCTTACTAAATTTTTTAACGCAATAATTATTAACTTAATTTTAAATTATGATGCACAATTTTACTTTTAACAGCTTTTGTAAAAAAAAAAAAAAATTACAGATCTCACGCCAAATATCATTTCCTTATAAAAAATTACTTTAAAAAACTGACGTAAACATATTTTCAGTTTCAGCTTTCCATACCTTTAGAACAAAGGAATACATATAAATGCTAGTCCATATACAACCATCTATTGACATTCTTGAATCTATTGAATGCAACTTTCAAGTGATGCGCAGCAAAATCGTCGATCGTTACTACGGCAAGATTTATTTTTATTGACAAAATTTTGGGATGGCGTGTTATCCAAAAGAATATTTTTATATGAATTATCAAAAACTTAGTGTCACTTATTTAATGTAAGTTTACCTATAAAGACCTCTAGAAAAAACTTCCATCATAAATATTGTAACCTTGTATAAAGTTTAAATTTAAAAATATTTTAGGATCCACTTTGAATCATCGTCTCCTTTTGCCAAATTACCTTAAAGATTTGAACGAATTTTTTGTGAAAACTTAATATCTAATATCACGATTTCTAAATGTCCAAAGAACCCTAACTTTAGATCCCTAAAATCGATTTAAAAAAAATTTTTTTTTTTGTCAAAAAAGGCATATCATATGTGCATACGCATTAATCGAAATTTTTTTTTTTTTGTACACGCGTTGCGTTCTTAAACCCGTTCGAAACTCCTCTTATTCATGCAAGGAATAAATTTTTTTTTTAGAATTACCATGTGTTCAACACATTGCATAAAATAAAAAAATAAATTGCTTTAACATGTTTCCTCCTATTATTATAAATTGCGAATTCGGTTAGCGTGATCCTTTATAACCATATATATTTATATTTTGATGTTAAACAAGAGAGTTTCAATAATTAAATTGAAGCTAAACGTGTTTATATTCGAATTTAATACATCTTCATGTCGGAAAAAAAAAACTTTTTTTTTTTTAATATTCAAAAATTCAATTTAGAAGAAAAGATCTCGTTACGAACGATTTCAATTTTTGCTTAGTCTCACTTAGGAAATCCGACGTTGATACGTCTGTGTGTATCTTTGAATACTAAATAAAAAACAAAGAAACTGATTTTTCTCATTGTTCAAATTGTCAACATTCATGTGTCAATTGTGTCAGAATTATTATAAATCTTCTGATTAGTAAGTTTAGTTAATGATTTTCTTCTTGGCTTAAAAAAAAAAAACGTACATAAGTACGGTTAATCTTTCTGCGCGGAGGAAATAATGATATTTTTAATTTTTATCTTGATAATCACATTAAAAAAATGAAAGAATGTGCACATGCATAAAGGAAATAAGAAGGATATGAGATTTGGCGTACGGACTTTGATATTATTATATTTAATTGGTTCCCTTGAAATTACGATGAAACGATAATCGTAAAGATCGCGAGAAAAAAAAAAAAAAAATTTTTTTTTTATTTTTTTTTTTTTACTTATTGAAGTGAGAATGACTCGGGTACTAAACAATGACAAGAATATAAATAATTTTTAAGAGAAACGCGAAAAAAAATTGTCAATAAAATCTATTTCAGATGGTTGCATTGAAAATTAAAAATATATTTTCAATGATCGGCGACATTGCATTTTAACATCGCTACATTATTATTTTTTTTTTTTATCTCGTTTTTATTCATTATATTCGTCAGATTTACATCATCATTATCATCATTCTTTTTAAGAAGTCATTTGAAAAGCACCTAATGTTCTTTACATTTGTATAAGCACAAATAAAGAAGAAACTTCAAGGTTATGAAACTGAAACAATGGTCGTTTTACCTAAATACCCAAAAGATTTACATCTGCATTGAATAAGGAAAGAAATAGAATCATTTAAAAAAAATATATATAACAATATATTGAATATATTGGGTAAAATTAATTAATTAACAATTAACATTTTAATAACTTCCGTTTTGCATTTTTTTTTTTTTTTTTTTTTTAAAAAAAAAAGCTATAATTATTCTTATTGACGATAAATTCCGTGAGAAATATATTTGGTCACGAATGACATCCATGTGGTTTTTATACAATGATACCAACATGTTTCAAAAAAAGATACCAAACAATACTTTTTTTTTTCCTATAGAATTGCAGTTAACTCCTTGAAAACAATGTTACAATATAAATAAACACATTTATGTTTATTGAAGATTAGTTTAATCACATAACTTCAAAGTACTTTCTGAACCATCTCAATGAAATTCCGTATTTCCGTTATCAGAATTTTATCTCTGTCACTTCACTTATAACAAATCGAAACACAACAGATAAATCATAATTTAAATCGAACATTTGGGAATTGTTTATACCACAAGTAAGTAATTTGTCAATGAATCTTATCTTCAGCCAACAAAAATATTTACCCAGCCATTTAAAAAAAGCCTTCAAACACTTATCGAGACTCGCTTAATAATCTTTGTTATGATTGATCTACTTGATGCTTTGAACTTTAACTTTATTGCGATGTTGAATGATAAGAAACGTTCTGTTTAATGCTATTGTAGAATTTAATATAGAAATATTTTGAATGAAGGCCGTTAATAAAGTAATAGTTGATATTACTTTTGAACGAATAAAAATGATTCGAGGTAAAAAAAGCATTGGTAGAAAAATTTTCATTGTTTCTTTTGTTCGTCCTTTGAAAGGTTTAAAATAACAATAACAGCAACAACAACAAGAAGCAACAAAAAACTTTCATATTCACCAAGTATACTCAATCAAAATGGGTATTAGAAAAAAAATATTTTTTTTTTTTTTGTTTTACCGAGAATATGTCAATAAAGCAATATCTTCTCCGGAAACATTATTTCCAACCATCAGGGAAAGCAGAGAAAGGGACACCAACGGATCATACCTTTTTTTCCCCCTTAGTTTATATTCATTCATTCTGAACGAGACGAGAAATTTTCCTGATCTCTAGAAATAATGATATTTTCTCTTATAAGTAATTGAATAAGTCAATTTTTGGATTTGAAAAATTGTTTCAAAGGGGGAAAATTATGTAATTCATTTTTGACCTAGAAAGGATCCATTATGCCAAAAGGAATCTTAAAGTACGGGTTTATATAATGACAAAAAAAAAAAAAAAAAGATGAAATAAAAAAATCTTGGTTATTTAAGAAAATTCTCCTAATATAACTAAAGATAAAGTTTGCATGAAATTTCTCTGAGAAATAGAAATTGTTAAGATGTTTTTCTGGTTTACCAAATTCCTGGAAATAATATCAGATATGCGACGATCAACTGTTATAATAATGCTAACAATTAGGCTTATTGTTTTTTAGGTGACGTGATAAATAAATGTATACATATGCAAATCTTAAGGGAGATACCAATTTCCATAAATTGATCGATTGTCTGCACCTCTCACCTGAATTCGTGGTGTGGATTCATTTTACTTAAAACATTTTCTTTTTAACAAGGCGAAATATTTTCACACACCTATGAAATCTATCGGTTTATTTTTATTTTCATTTTCATTTTTTTTTTTAAAAGATGTAATATAAATCGCATTTACCAGTTTATAATAATTTTTTTTTGACCCCTTGTTAACCAATTTGTTTTAGTAAACAATAAATAACCTTATATTATTATTTTATGATCTTATTCTTAGTTGATCATTTATTTCGTCATAATTTAATCTCATTTATCGGAATCGTTTGTACAAAATTAACACAAACAAAATAGGTGATAACTCTTTATGTCAAAAAAGTTACACGCATAAATGTTTCATACTATTTTATTTTAGTTTCTATTAATAAATCATGTTTAAAAAATGAAACTTACCTATTAACATCCTTTTTCGTTTTAGTTATTAATTTCAATATCACTTCATGTTAATAGTCACTTCACTTTTTTTTAAAAAAAAAATTTCGATCATCAGCAATATATATATACTTATTTACAGTATTTAAAGAGTTAATATAAATTTGTTTCAGAGCCAAATATTTATTTCGTGTGATTTGAAAATCAAACTATAAAAAAAGTATTAAAGGGATCAAGTCATTTCTTTGATCAAGAAATAACCAACTCTATAAAAAAGCCTTTACTTAAAAAAAAAATTAAGTTATTAATTTTATTCAAGCACTAATTAAAACCAAAGGTAATTTTTGTTAGTGTCGTAACACTTTCTATTTCCCATTAAATTGTACCGTATATTGTAATATTTAATTCATTTAATTCACATTTTCAACGTTTTTTTTTTTTTATTGTAATATAAAATTATATATCACAATGATACAAAACACACAAATAATGTCACACCTATTTGAACCCCTTTTTGTATCATGGACCCTCGATGTACGCGAAATGGCGCAGCTATTTGAATTTTATTATAAATATTGCTTCCTAAACGACTTTCTTCTAACCTTCTTTTCTTACAAACAAAAAAAAATTTTTTTTTTCATTGTTTATGTCTATCTAGTTACGACTTTCGTGATTAGTTTCGAGACCATTTTTAATAAAATAATTTTTACATCATTCGTACTACGCAAAAGGTTTAATCCATTTTTATTTTTCAAAAAAAAAAGATTTCTGTTAAGGCTTTGAAAATTTCTTAAAAGGCAAACCTTTAACGCACAGACGTCTACATATTATCTGCACGCACATATTTTGTACATTATCAAACGCCAACTTTTTAATACAAAAGGAGACTTTTTTTTTTTTTTTTTTATCTTTTCAACTACAACATTTTTACTTCTTACTTCTCGATAATGGATATTTTGGAGCTTATTCACATGGAATCTCAATATAGCGAAAGCCGTCCTTTCCGATGTACTTGGGAAGGATGTACCAAGGCATTTTCAAGAAGATCGGACCTCTCACGACATGGAAGAATCCACACAAATGAAAGGTGAAAAATAATAACGAATTTCTTAATTTGGGTTCAAAACTTATTCGCCTTAACCATATTTAGTTAGATAGCGTAGTAAACAATTAAATGTTCTTTGTATATTTTTAATTGTTTTTATTTTTTTCTTTCAAAAAAAAAAAAAAATTCCCTTTCATTGTTTATTGTTTGTGCGCACATAACTAATTAAAAAAAATGAATATGAGAACTTTTTATTTTTGTATGTGCGTTTTTTTTTGGAGATGTCCCCTAATAATCTTGTGCATTCCTTCACATGTTTATTTACTATATTTATTGTCATTTATGGTTAGGCCTTTTTCTTGCAACGAACCAGGTTGCGGAAAATCCTTTATTCAGGTTTGTATTTATTATATAAATCATCGTGATTTTAAAATGCATTATTTTTCCGAATATTTTTGTTATTTTTGGAAAATCATTCCGCGTATGTACTAACATCGTTGTGCTGATCTTTTTTTTTTTTTTTTTTAGCGGTCAGCCTTGACTGTTCACATGAGAACTCATTCAGGAGAACGTCCTCATATTTGTGAACATCCGGATTGTAATAAATCTTTTAGTGATAGTTCCTCCTTGGCCAGGCATCGACGCATTCACACTGGAAAACGCCCTTATAAATGTGGCTTTGAAAATTGTGGTAAAAGGTACCGCATCATTATTTAATGTGAATCACGTGTTAACCTACTACCGGTATTAACATGCATTACTGTTACAGCTTTTGTCGTAAAACAAATTTGACCCGTCATCATCGAAGAACTCATCTAATGGCCTTGAAAACCGAAAGACCATTCATCTGGCGCACTCCAATCGATAGCACTCACCTCTCAATGTCTGAACCAATTTATCATACATATATTACCCCTCCTCATGAATACTCTCGTCTTCACACGAGGGATCTTCCTATCAGTCCTGTCTTATCTCAAGGTTCAGCCTATTCCACGACGAGTTCATTTGCAAGTTCTCCAACAACTCCAAAGTTTCAAAACTCTTTGCCAACGATTTATGCTCCTCAGCCAATACTAGCAACTCGTAATTATTACAACGATAATGGATACGCATCACCTTCTTCAACGACATCATCATTACCATCTCCCAGTCTTCCAACGACGCAGACTTTACCAAATGTATCCACAACGAATCATTGTATGGGATGCTATTGTTGTTGGCAAAATAATCAATTATTGCAATGGAAAATTCAACAAATGATCAATCCCCCTTCAAAATTGCGATACGATCAACATGGAATTGACGCAAATTTTATTCCTTTCAATTATTAAGTTATAAACGGGAAGTTGTAAAAAAAAGAAAAGAAAAGAAAAAAAAAAAAAGATTTGGATGTAAAAATATTGGAAGGTTAAATAATTCGTGAAAATACTTGAACAGGAAAAAAAAAATAATTTATCTCAAAGCGTGAATTTTGCATTTTACATTTATAAAAAAAAACAAAAATTTTGGTAGTTTGTTACGCCAACTTGGTAATTTTCTCAACTAATTTCTTTTTCAACATTTAGTTTTAATTATTTGCTTGTAAATTTTTCTGATATATCGGCTTGTCTTTATTCTTGGTATATTTTTGGGTGGCTTACGTTTTTATTGGTTTTTATTGGTTTTATTATTGTTGCTTCATTTTCAAAAAAAAAAAAAAGTAATAAATTTATTTGTAAATATCATTTCATTTAATTGACAAAATGTATATATTATGGTTCATTGTTTTTAATACGTGGCAAGTCAAAAATATTTGAGCGAAGTCGTAAATTAATAATGCAGAAAGAAAATTTTAAATGTTGCAAGGCGAACTTTTAAGTTTCCCATCGGTTAAATTTTTTTTTTTTGGAAATATTATGAAACGCTTATGTCATACAAGTTCGAAAATTCGATGTGCAGAATTTTTACGTCTTCACGAGTATTACTTCCTCACATATTTTACGTTTTAGGCTTTTAAAGAATTTTTTATATTTATCTATACATTTACGCATGATCATTTGATGCCCGTTCGAATGTTGAGCCAAAATATTTAGTTTTTTTTTTTTAAAGGGGGAGCAAATTTGTCATTTGTTACACAAACAATCGCACAATCAATTCCGGTTCGAAGCTGGTTATTAAAGTTTTATAATTGAACTTAAAGATATCACATATCTATTTAATTTTAAAGTTATATTATAAGTATTTGTTTATTTTAGAATAAATATAATCGGATGTAATATGACCTTATCCTCTATATACTTTTTACTTTCTATTCTAATATTTATAATTCTGGCTTTTTAATACTTTCTGCTGACAAATAAAAATTTTAAAAATTTATATATTAATTAAAAATTATATTTATTAAAAAAGAAGTCTGATAAATTTTACATTTTGAATAAATACAAATTTAAAGGTATTATTAAGAAAAAAAAATAAAGAAATATTATAATATTAGTTTATTCCTATTATTTTATTGTGATCAATATTTAATTATAAAATTATACTATTAAATCTTATTAAATTTAATAGTAAATATTTATTATTTTTAATTCTTTTTTTTTTTTATTTATTATATAATATTAAATTATTTTGTAATAGTTGTAAAATAACATATGAATATAAATTTATTAATTAGATTTTTAAATTAAATATATTTTATTATAATTTTTTTTGTTTTTTATTTTTTTTATTTTTTTTATAAATTACTTTAATATTTAATTATATTTAATTGTAATTATATCTATTACATTATAATAAGAATATGAAAAAATTTTGATTAAAATTATCAAATGAATTTATATTAAAGTTTTATATTTTATAAATTTATATAAAAATAGATTGTATAGAATTACTTGTAATACAATAATAATAAGATTATCATTGGTTTATTTATTGTAAAACAATAATGGTAAACAAATATTTATTATCATGTTATTGGTTTATTAAAATTGTTATATAATAATGATCAACAGATAATCACATTTATTTTTTTTTAATTTTTTTAATTTTTAATAAATTTCATTCAAATCAAAATCATTTTATTACATTATAAAAAAATAAATGATAATATTAATTTAATTTAAAGTTGTATTTTATAAATAATTTATTATATATAAATATTATATAAAATCATAAATATAAAATGATTTAAAATTTAAAGATTGTAAAAATTATATAAAATTTTACTTGTGACATAATAGTATTTTCAAATCTTATTACACATAATCTCTTCTTTAATAAGATTTAAATTATTATAATATATATTTATTAAGATATATAATTTTTAAATACATTATAGAACTTTTCATAGTATAAAAATTTATATAAATGTTAATTTTGTATTTATATAATAAAAAATATAAATAAATTATATAAATTTTATCATATTTTTTATTTTGTTTTATAATTATATTTAAATATAAATTTTATTATAAAAGTATTATTATTTGAACAAAAATACAATTAATTTAAAATTTTAAGATTATTTTTAATATAAAATAATCAAAGTTGCTTGTGTAAACTCATTTGAATTTGATAAAATATCTAAACTTTAGTTTTGCTTGCTAATTTTTATTAAGATTTTGATATAGTTTCACATTTTTATAAGCTTTAATATAGTTTTATTCTTTTTTAAGTTTTTCAAATTTTTTAATAAGGTTTTAATATAATTTTGCTAAATTTTATCCTTTAACATTTAGACAACTTGCAAAACCTTTAAATTTTATCTAGTAACCTTAATAATAACTAATTAAAAATACCTTTAGATTTTAGATATTTTTAAAATTTCATAATAATTATTTGATTTATAATTAAAATAAGATTATTTATTATTTTTTATCTTAAAAATATAATTATAATATTAATTACAAATAATAAAAAAACTATAAATATTAAATTTAGTATTAATATATAAATATTTAATATTTTAAAAAAATTATAATTATTATAAAACTCTTTTTTTTTTTTTAAAAAAAAAAACAAATATATAATTTAGAATTATTATTTATAAAACTATAAGTAATAATTTTAAATTATTTGTTTATAATACAATGTTAAACTATATTAATAAAAAAAAATGATAAAATAGTAAAATTATGATATTAAAATTTAAAAAGTATATAAGATATTTCATTATATAAAATATTATTTTTAAAATATTTTAAACAAAAATAATTATTATAATATTTAAATTATTTGAAAATTATATTTTAATAATTAAAGTTTTCAATAATAAATAAATCTATTTAACAATTTATTAGATTATAAAATATTATTAATAAGATATTTTATTATGAATTTAAATACAATAATTTATTTAATTTAAAATTTAAATAATAAATAAATTTGTTTTTAATATACAGTTGACCTCTTATATAATCATATTTCTTAGGATTAAAAATACCTTAGTATGATTATAAAGAAATTAATATATAGGGTAACTGTATATTATTTTTTTATAATTTTTCAAAAGCAATTATTAAGTTTTATAATAAATTAAATCAATAAATTATATTATATAATCTACCATAATAACGAATGCTTGCTTATATAATTATTTTTTTTATTAAATTGTTATCAATGCTATTTATAATAATTAAAACATTCTTATATGTTTTATTACTTTTAATAAATATATTTTAATAAATATTAATAAATTTATTAATAATACAACATGTATTTAAGAAAAGTGTCCTCTAACGAGAGGTCTGCTATACTTGTTAATGTCTTGTAGAATATAGAAACTTTCTTTGTTCCATTATCGACATCATCCATAATATTTTGCAAACCGTCAACGATCAAGACAACCGTTGCACTCTTCAATTCTAAATCATGATATTTAGCAACAAGTTCAGGACTTAATGGTTCATAATAATCAATAACTGTTGAAAGTTTCACGTTTAGAAGCTGTTTTAACATCTAAATATAGTATATTATTTAATCAACATTTCTGTTATATTAACGAAAATATATTATGACTAAATATTATTTGTATAAATAAGATAAAATAATTATAAATTATACTTAAATTGCTAATTATATTAGAATAGATTAATTAAAAATTAAAAATTGTAAATTGAAATAAATTTTAAAATGTATTAATTTAGAAATGTGAGCTTATTGAAAATCCTTTGCTAAATCTAGCATTTAAAAGAATAGAATTGGATTAATTAATAAAATAAATAGTTTTTACGTATTAACTATCGATTTGATTTCATATCTGAACAACTTCAAATAGGTAAGATAGATTTGTTCTAGTAAAAAACAGATATTTCGAATTAATTTTAGGTAATTATAACGGCTTTATCATTTAACATTTATTATTATAAATCATTCGAACCAAGAGCAGACAGAAATATTGATCATATTTATAACAATTATAATCAATAACGTTCTTCCTTTCTTTTTTGTTTTGAACATTTAAATATTTTTAAGTATATGAATATAAAATATCGTTAAAAAATTCTTATTCTTTTACAAAAGTAAGACTTTTGTAACTTTATTCTTATTCTTTTACAAAAGTAAGAATTAGTAACTTTATTCATTGCCTTTTGTAAACTTATGTAACGAGCATTTTATGCACATGTGCCGATTTTTTTTGATAGGTTCCTTTTAAGGTCGGCGTTGGAATTATATTATTTCTTGCATCAAACGTTTGCCTTGGTAAATACGAATTAAATCATTCAGTTTTCGATTTATGTATGTGGGGGGGGGGGGGGGGGTTGACCAACGCCCACCATAATGAATTTCGTGCTATACTTGTAACGGATCAAAACGCTACGCGGATAAATATTTATCCGATTTAGGGGAAAAAAATTAAGTATCGCACTTGCACAAAATAATATTATTACGTTCCAAGAATTTATTGCAATAATTTCTGTTATTTTCGATTCAGATTCTCTCGAAGAAAAAACCCATTCACCTCTAAAAATTTATCGTAATGAAGGTATTTTATAGCACGTGACTAATAATTGCGCAATCACACAATGCTGCATATTACGCCACATAGCGTGTGAACAAAAAAGGAAGAACTAAATTAATACTAATTGTCATTGCGCAGCATGAAACAAGAGTCACTTCTATCATGCCTTCAAACACCTTACATAATTCAATCATTACAAATCTTCCCGCCTACTTTTAATAAGACCATTCATGATTTCATAGAGTTTCCCTCGATTTCTTGTTAAATTTGTTCGCCTTTCGACTATCATTCTCGCGTTAAAACTTGTATTTTTCATCTCAACGTATTAACTTGTGAAGATTTCAAAAGATTAACCTATAAATCTACAAGATTTTCTTCTATAAGGCCAAACCTAGAATTATTAAAATAAGTTCAATGATGTAAAATATTATCTAATTATAATTAATGATAACCATTCTTTTTACAAATTATTAATTTGATGTATGCAAATCCTAAAAAAAAAAAAAAGAAAAAATGCATCTTTACAATTAATTAACGTTATATTGATTATGAGAGCAAAGTACTTGTGTATAAAAGGGGAGATTTAATATTTCCTAATTTAATAAACAAGAGCAAGATAAGAATAAGATCAAACAATAAAGTTGTTCAAACCTTGAAATACTTTTTAAGTACATGTTATGCTCCTTTAATGATTTTGATGTTGTAAAGTGCGGGAAATAAGTTTACTCGAGTGCTTATGTGCTCATTTAAGGACTTTTTTTTTCGTTCATGTTGTGCAAGATTTATTACTAAAAATAAAAAGGAAATAATTGTAACGCGATTTGCACAGTTCATTGACACGCGCTCGTTATCATTTATGCAATAAGTTCTTACATTTCAAATTTAAACAAATATAGCTTTCAAAAGATCTTATTCCTTACTAGCGTGTTTTCTTTTGATATGGACAAAGAAATTCATTGTTGATAGACTTATTATAGTAATTAGTATAAAGGTGATTTAAAATCGTGATTGGAGTGGAATCACTTTATTCATCACTCAACTAATATTAGGTCGGTAAGCTCCATAATATTCCTTAGTTATTAGAAAACTATTGGCATAGTTGTACATTGTTATGCGTGTATGCATCTGAAAAGCAGAAAACCGTCTTTAAAAATGCTTGTTGAGTGTACATGGCATAAAGTCGTTTGATGAGCCGGCCATAATGATCTCTCTCGTATCAATTTACGTTTCGGGCAATTGAATTGGTCCTAACTTGGGAATTCGGTGCATTGAAAAAAAAATAAAACTGAAAAAAGAAATCGTTATGAACTTGTTATTGAAACAAAAAGATTATGCCATGTTACCTAATCAAGATTTAAGTTTTAAGATAAATTTATTTTTTTTTCTATCAACGTAATAATTCCATATTTTTAAAATTTTTTTTGAAAAAAAAATAAGTGATGATACTGATTTGTTTCGTGACTTATAAAAAAAAGGGATAATAAAGGACAATGAGGCAAATTCATAGACATTGTTTAAAATGTTTTATAATTTTTTTTCTTTCTTTAATAAATACTGTAAATATTATTTGCGAGCAAAAATAGTCTGGATTTTCAATTTTAAATAAATATATTTTTATATTATATCATTAAGTGTATTTAATTTAGTTTAACTAGGTAATAAAAAAAAGGAGTAACCATTAAAGATTTTGATTAGCATTTAGAACATCAATACATTTTTTTAAAGTAAATGTATGAATATCATTTTCATTGTTAGTTTCATATCATTATTGGAATTTTTTTTATTATTATATTATAATTATAATTAGCGTTAGACTGGGGCTGAAATTTTTTTTTTTTAGATAAAAAATGTATATAGACCATTATTCATTTAAAGTTTGGAATCAAAAAAAAATTTTGAAGATCCTTATTGACAATTTGAATTTACTATAAAAATATATTTTCTAGATTCTTATAGAAAAAATAGGGCTGAAAAAAATTTTTTTTTTTTGACTTTTGCTCATGTATTTTGCTTAATTGTTTACATTTTTTTTCCTCGACTAAAATTTATAGATTTTTTTTTTCTTTTTTTTTTTTTCTTTTTGATAAATTACTTTTCTGTTTAAAAAAAAAAAAAAAAAACACTGAATTTAGAAATTTGTTTGGCGGAGGGTTTACTTTAAGGATTAAATATATTTAATATACAGTATGTACATATATACATATATTAAAATATTTTAAATGCACAAGATTCCATTCTTAAATGAAAAGCCCTCAAGCGAATTTTTCGCCTTTATTTTCATTCACATTAAACCTAAAAACGATGATAACATCGGACATTTCAGTTTGTTTCGGCGGTCTTTTGTTTAGATTTTTTTTTTTTTAAAAAATAAATAAAATAAAAAAAAAAATCTTCTGCAACGAACTTACACGTAACATATTTTTATAAGATAGATTTAAACAATGGACGTTGTTAAAATAGTAATCTGACCATGCAATACTCAATACAATACAGTAAGGTAAGGTAAGCAATCCTGGTTGTAAAGTTGGAAATGTTATCATAATACATCAAAATTTTGCCACATGGAATTTCAGACTTTTTTTCTTGCCTTTGTTAAAAATTTTTTCTACTTTTAAAAAAGTTTGAACGATTGTATTGGTCTGTTGGTAGATTGGTTAAGATTTGCATTGCATCAAAAAAAAAAAATCTAGAAATATAGCTTGTTTATGGGGTCATTAAGTATTTAGATGTATAAAAAAAAAATTTTCTACGTTAATTTGGTCTTATATATTTTATACCTAAATATTTTTTGGTTTTAAAACGCAAAATCAAAATTTAATCGATAATAATAATTTCGACTAAAAAATTATTTGATTATTCTAATATCAATTTTTCACGTAAATGATCCCCTAATTTCCCGTTAAATCAAACAAAAAGGCAAAAGATTGGTCACAATTCGAACAATATGTAAAACTTCACTGATTTCTGCACGAGATTATTAACGATTTTATAAAATAAATGATCGGAAATTACCGAAAATAAAATCCAATAAAATAAAATATTATTGTTAAATGTTTGTGTCGGATCATCAATCAAAATTCTTTTTGGCGCAGCAAATGCCGAACGTTCACTTTACCAACTTTAGAGGATAATGTTAATCTATTTATGGTTCGCTCTTTTTTTGTCAAACGCCCTTTCAACCGCTTTTTTTTTTTACAAAAATTATTCTTACGATAGCACGTGATCACAAATGATGCACGCAGCCGTTTATTTAAGTTTATTTTCATCACTAATCAATGTTTTTCTGCAGGCAAAATTAGAAATACGCGGAAAATAATTGATATTGACAATTTTCTCCGAACTTTCTTCTTTATTTGACTTATCTAGGCTATTATTTAGGTTAATCAATCAGTTGCGAAACATTCATTGCTTTCAATAACGATTTAAAAAGTAAAGGCAAATCATTCCAGTTTATTTTCTATCGATTTAAATATTTACTATGATTTCTTCTCTGAAGATCATCTTTTTTTTTATCTCGTTAAATATCTTGTTATTGCACGGTAATCAACAATAGTCCGAGTTTGTTCAAGATCGTAAAAAACCATCCGATGTGATATCATTTTTGGGGAGAGATTTTACGAGAGCTTTTGAGTCCTCTAAAAAAAAAAAAAATAATAATGGTCCAGGTACATTCAATAGGTCCCAAAAAAGAAGCAATCATCAGAAAAAATGAGCAAACTATCTTTTATATGTAATTTTCTCATGATAGCGACATAAAGCTTATTTTAGCAATACATAAACGTATTTCTTTCGTATGAAAATATTTTTTTTCAATGTAAAGATCTCTTTTTTTTCATGCAGCATAAACGTGTATCTTCCTAAATTAAAAATGTGCGTTCTTTAAAGAAACGTTTTTATTTGAAACACAAAAAACCGAAATTACTAATTAAAAATCTACATCATTTTTTTTTTTTTTAATTTAAACATTTTTCAAATCGTTTGATTGAAAGGCAGCCGTAAAATGCCGAAAACGATTAGCCAGCTCCGATAAACTTTTAAGGGTGCGACCCTTTATTGATGAAACAAATGTTGTGTTGAATTCAAAGATCCCGATGTGATTTGTGATTTCTCAATTGCTCTGTATATTTGTGATTTTGTGATGTTTTGACATTTAATTTTAATTTTTTTTTTTTTCCTTCTGCATTTTGAGAAATATTTATTAAAAATATTTATTTCATGCTTCAACGGATCAAAAAAAAAAAATAACCCATGATTTACTATCGGTCACGTGCAGACTAAGTATATAGAATTTTTTGTCTTAAATTGAATACCAGGTTGTTTTTAAAACTAACGAGTAATATAAACAAACAATTTTGCCAAACAGAATTAGTTTAGATTTAGGAATTTGTAAAATGTCAAATTTTAATACAAGAGATTGTTCACGTGCTTTCCAGCAAATTATTACTTTATTAAGCAAGACTTAATTTGTATCATTCCAAGTTAAAAAAAATTCACTCGTTTCCCTTCACATCGGGCAAGATAAAACACCATTTCTTAAAAAACAAATCGTATCCTTAACACGCATATTTTGTAAAAAGTCGGTCGAAATGCAATTTAATTTATTAATGTTAAGGGCTGTAATGAATTTATGAATGCTAATTTTCGCGAATCAATCGATCTGATATCAGCATTTGGATCAGTCACAACGGCTTTTGAAAATAGCCGAGTCGATTTTTTTTTGAAAAATTAAATATATGAAAGAAATTTTCAAACCAAAGTTTCTCTAAAACTTTCGACATACAAGATTCTAATACTTTTGGTATATCATTCCTTATATTATCGAAATTTAAATATGGCTTACAGCATTTTTTGATACGTATCAACGATTAAGTCTAGCGGCTTTTCTTACATTCCCTTCCGTCGTCATAGTTCATTTCTCATAAGCTTTACCATGAAATCGCTTCTTTCAACATTTTATTATATTTACTATAGTTTCGACGAAACCAGTTACTATAAAATCGAAAAAAAATTATAAATCTCTAACCGCTCAAACAATCGAAAAATTAATCGTTAAATTAAATATCAGAATTAAAGGTTAAAAAATAAACAGTAATTAATAAACTGAAATAATTTTATTATATTTAAAGTTACTTTAATATCAAACTGCTTATAATAGTCGGTCGATTATAAAATTTGGCCCAGAGGTTGATTTTTTATCCGGTCAATTAACCGGTTAAAACGGTTTACATAAATCTTTACGGTTATTTTAATTGCGGCCGAAATTTAATTTCGACAAGAATTAAGATTTGTTTTTTGATTGTCAAAATATTTGGTAACTCAGGCCAAATTCATAGTATTGGCTTAAGTTAATTTTAACCGGTCAATTAACCGGTTAACGAATATTTTAAAAAGTTTTCTACACGGACCAATCACGTAATACTATCTTCAAGTTTATGATTTATACTTTTGCTGACTTCAGTTACGAATGTCAGTGGAAACTATAAAAAATAAAATTTTGTTTTTCAAATCGCGATAGCAGTAGAATTTCGGTTAATTTTGGCTATCACTATAAATTGATGTTGGTATGGCAGTTATGTGGCAAGTTGAGAATATGGATGGGTAAATGCGTTCAAGTCTGCAGAATTAAAGAGCATCCAATGTTGATTGCAGTTTAACTGCGATTCATCCTATGGTTAAGCCATCTAAATGTGTTATTTCATCGCTTATATTTAGCATTACAAATTTTTGATAATCCTAAAGAATCTTAATTCTAATTTCGGCTGGATTTAAATTCAACATTTTTTAACTAAAAAATAAAAAATCAAAATAATTTATATTTTTATGCAGTTAGATATCCTAAGTATTTATGTTAAAAATAATTATTCTTTAATGTATTGATATTTTTTTTTTAAAATTTTCTTCTTCAATAGAATATAACGATAAGTTTTATAAAAAAAAAAAAGCTAAAACTTATTATTAAAGATATATATACATTATTATTAAATAGAAAATTTAAATTTTTTAATAGCTTTTAAGATCATATTTATATACTTATTGAAATATAAAAATAATATATTTTTGTGAATTAAATAAACTTTTTAAGTAAAATAATATGATTATAATATATGTATTTTTTTTAAAAATTGAAAATTGAAAAATTGAATTATATTAATGATTACTAATTTAAAAAAA